CCGGACGGCCGCGCCGAATTCGTGGGTTCGTTTAATGGTTTCGCGGCGTCTTCCTTTTTTCGCGACGACCGGGAGCGCGGTTCTTAACCTTAATTGAATTCTTAATGACACGGCAACTCCCGCGGTATCTCGGCGACTGTTTCCGCCGGCGCGGTGAAGCGGCCTCCGCGCCACTCGCCATTGTCGTCGGGATTTCGTGTACGGACGGCTCTAACGGCGACGTTCCCGAGATTCTTCTTATTTCTTTATAGACCAATCGGATCGGGGACTCGGGAGGAATGTAATCGCGCTCGGGCGGGTCTCGATTGCACGAAAAAATTCTACCGAGTCCGACCGCCGAAAACGGGGCTGGAAAGTTTCGCGGCGCCGGCATTACTCGCTTCATCGCAGAAGTTTTTCTTGATTCCCACCGTTATATCTGTGGTGCGCTTCTGGTCGGGTTCGGCCTTTTGCGCGATGAAAGTTTTCCGCTGGAAATATTCGATATTGCCGATACGCGACGTTGTTTGAGATTAATGTGTTGGAAAATGAATTGTAATTTTGCTGTGTCGAATTAAGCGGTGACTGAGAAACTCGAGCGCAAAGGTTCGATATCCAGGGTAGAAAACAGCGGGCACCTGCACGGGTCCGATCAGTTTTTCCATTCAATTCGGATGAAACAAGGATCGATCCCGGGAACTTTGGGTCTGCTCGATTTGTTACGAGAGCCCAACTAGATCCATAAATCCTCCGTTCTCCGGAGTTAAACCTAGGACGCTAAGTTCGCCGAATTGTACTCCCGGCCCTCTGACCTAGATCTTCCAACCTCTGACCTGTGTCCTCGTACCCTTGGTGCGCTGACCTGAATCTTCACGGTTCTTTAACCTTGATCTTCGGATCCGCGCTACTTCCTTCCGCGTGTTTGAATTTTTAGCGAAACCTGATTATCTAGATCATAGAAGTCTCCTATGTTTCTAAACGAAATTTATTCAAACGAAACTGAACATTCCGATTCTTCGGCTTCTGGATTGGTTCCAATAGTGCCTCTTCCCCCCGTTCCTCCCGATCAAATTTTAGCTCTCAGCCCGGATATCCAAATTCCCCGGTTCATATCCCGGCGTCCCCGTCCAATTCTCGAGCTAAACCAATGATCAAACAGGATAAAGAACCACAGACAGCGTACAAACTCGGCGTTTCGTTGCATTCCCGATCCGCGCGAGGCATTCGGCCCCCCATCGATGGCATCTTCGGCTGCAATCCGGGAGAGCGGTAGACGCCATTCAAGCGACAACGATATTGAAAATATCTGGCTGAATTGGAAATCCGCGTGCAGCGACTGTGAGAGAGACACTGGGTATTTCGTTGCTCGGCTAATACCCGTGCACGCGCGTGTATGCACACGCGGGGAACGTCCCTGCGAGCGTGGTAGTCGATCTCGCGGGTCCCCCGGATAGCCGACCAAGGACAACGCTATCGGAAACGGATTCCCTCTCCCTTTACCTTCACCTTACGTCTAATAACCGGCTGCTCCATAATGCATAAGGGAAAAATGCTGAAGTTTCGCCTATTGTCGGCCACCGACGATCCTCGCCGCGGTTCCGAGACTGTATAGGATCAACCGCGCGAGTACACTGCCAGTCAAAAGTTAGGGACTACCAGTTTCGTTAAGAAAACTAAGACTAAATATTAACGTTTCGTAACTGACACAATTGATTATCTATAAATTAAGAGAGAACTATTTTACTTCAATGTTTTATGTGTTGATACATTGCACAAGGTTTAGTATTGAATTGAAAATTTTATAAGTTTTCTGCGTCGAATCGAGTGCAAAGGATTAATATTCGAGATTTTCCGATTGGATGTCAATAGCATTGTTTGCGCGTGATTTAACGAGGAATTATACATAGGTGAGAGAACAGATATTTTGCTATACTTCACTCGTCGACAAGTTATAGGAAGCTTCATATTAAATGTCGAATCTTGAAACATTTGAAAATTTGAAGATTTGACAGTGAATTTTTTAAATATTCCGCGACAACTGTTACTATTTGCAGACATGCTTAAACTTATAGAGTCGTTCAGTGATGTATCCCCCGTACGACGCGGTTTTCTAGGAAATGGAACGTGTCCCCCGCGTTGTACGGAGGTATAGTGTGTATAAATAATTCCTAACACACGTCACGAGACGTAGGAGTGGTCCGAAACTTTTGATCGACAGTGTAGGTACACGCGGGGAACGGCGTCCCGAACGAAACGCTTTCCATCCCCCTTTTCCGGGACACGCTCTTTCGCGGCAATTTACATGGAAACGGTCCCCGGCAATTCGCGGAGGAGTTAAGCGCGACACAGCCCCTCGAACAGAGATTCCGGACTTCCGTGCCAGTGTCCGTCGGTGTCCGCCACTGAAATTTCACGATCTCTAGGCGGGAACACGCGCGACAGCGGCGGATGTATGTGTGCCCGGGAATGAAATTTCACGATTCAACTGGCACTCGTCGGCCCGTCTCGGAGGAGGAATAGAACCCCGCTGGTATAGTCGGACTCTTTCGTTAGAGTATCGTTCGGGGATGGGGGAGGCAGGCGAACGCGACACGGCGCTCCCCTCCACGGTATAAACGTTATTTCGTGGATAGAAATCTCGTGCGATTTTCGCTGAGATTACACGCCCACATTTCTGCGACAGACCGTATTTCTCTTTTCAACGGAACCTCTTTTATGTGCTTCTCAGAGATGCTAATTAACGTTTTGACTTGATTCGTGAAAGCTTCGAATCGAAGTTTTAGAGACTTCGAGCTTTAGAGGTTTAGAGGTTTGGAAGTTTGGAAGTTTGGAAGTTTAGAAATTTGGAAATTTAGAAGCTTAGAAGTTTAGAAGCGTAGAGGCTTAGAAGTTTTGAAGTTTAGAAATTTGGAAATTTGGAAATTTAGAAGCTTAGAAGCTTAGAAGTTTAGAGGTTTAGAGGTTTGGATATTTGGATGTTTGGAAGTTTGGATGTTTGGAAGTTTGGAAGTTTGGAAGTTTGGAAGTTTGGAAGTTTGGACATTTAGAACTTCAGAAGTTTAGAAATTTAGAAGCTTAGAAGTTTGGAAGTTGCAATGTTTAGAAGTTTAGAAGTTTAGAAATTTGGAAATTTATAAGCTTAGAGGCTTAGAAGTTTAGAAATTTGGAAATTTAGAAGCTTAGACGCTTAGAAGTTTAGAAATTTAGAAATTTAGAAATTTGGAAATTTAGAAGCTTAGAGGCTTAGAAGTTTAGAAGTTTAGAAATTTGGAAGTTTAGAAGCTTAGAAGCTTAGAAGTTTAAAAGTTTAGAAGTTTGGAGACTCAAAGACTCCAAAACTCAGATTCAATATTCAAAACCCAGAAGATTAATGTTTGATTAAACCATCATCTGTTGCAGCGAACCTGGCACTCTCGTCCCAGTGGTCAGACTCGAAGGCGCTCACGCCCACTAATCGGGTCGCGGGACAAAGAGCACGAAGTGTCTTTTGGGGACTCACAATTGGATTTCCCGGAGCGACTTATCCGCCGCTATGACGTCACGAGTGCCACATTCCCAGCAACTGACGGTACGTTCGTTCACGAAGCTCCCGAGGTATCGAACTATGACGAAAGCAATCCATACTTCGAAAGACGATTATTTAAATAGCCCGCCACTAAATTCTAAATGAATCAGAAACGAAAGTAATACATCGCATATATTATTCAGTGCACTCGGGTCTCTCCGACGAACCGCATCACGCGAGTCGTTCCGCGATCGAGACTCCGATAGCTACGCGTGACCGTCCGCAAAGCGATCGCGTCGCGACGGAATTTCTATAGCGTGCACGGGACCATAAGCGTCGTCGAATTCACGCCGGGTAAGCGCATTATCATAAGCCGTAAGGCGCTTATCCTGTTGTTGGTCGACGCAATTACATACATCGCGATTATCGTCGGCTGCGCTCGTTACCGTCGACGCGGGGAACGTCGGGCGGCCGGAGAAAGGAAACGCGAGTCTCTCGGTCGCGGGGAAGCGGAACAGAAAGAAACGAAGGGCTGACGAAGACAGCGGTACAGGGTGAGAATGAAAAGTGTGGATGAGCAGAGTGACGTGGAATGACACTGTTTAACCCATTCGAGGCCAGGGTTGATTTTAACGACCCCTAGCCTCATTTCTTAACACTAGAACTACTAAAACGTTTCACACTAGAACTACTTTAACTTCTTAAGAAATTTCTGAGAAGATTCTGATACGGAACATCCATTGATGTCTGTAATTGTGTTAACCCTAGAAGTAACGAGCATTTAATACGATTCGTATGTAATTCCTATAAAAATTGTAACAATTATCTTCGGTTGCTTTAGATGTTCAGTAGATTTGAGTGAAACTATTTTCGAGATCATTTCGAATATTCAATTCGAAGGTATCAATAATATAAACAACCAAATCGAAACCAGTGATTTTAACTGGTAGTTCCAGTGTTAAAATTCCTTAAACAGCTGATTGCGAGTTACTTCGAGGTCTTATCTCGAAACCGATACGAGTTTCGATGTTCGCAGATCATTGATTTCCACCGCAAACTAGCAGTCATTTCGAATGTTCGTTCCATTTGCGATCAAGCACCGATGGATGCATTTATACTGCACTTCGTGGAATGCTAGTATCGCTCAGCGCTCGTTTCGGCGTCATCGAATGACGACAGCGAGTTGCATGCAAGTTTTTATGCCTATCGAATGTTCCGGGCGACCTCTTCGGTTGCTTAAAACTCGCGAGAGGAACTGGTATTAAGTCCGTCGCTGGCGGGGAGGGCGCGGATGAGGCGGGGCGGCGATAAAGGCTCGATAAGGGGGCGAAGTTGAAATAAGAAACATTCGAAGAGCGGGAAAGGAGACGAGGCGCGCGCGCACGTGCTCGGTACGGAAACGGCGGGAAAAAGGGGGACCTTCATTACGCGCTGAAAGGCTGCCGTTTTAAGAGCAAACGAATAGGAATAGTTAACAATGAGACAGAGACGCCGGGGAACGGACGCTGAAAGGGAAGGAAATTCGCGCTTGATACCGGCCCCGAAGAAAGGCTCGCAAATTAGAACATCCTATGTTTAATTTAACGACTCCGCGAGCCGGTGTAAGTCGACTCGCTCCGCGAGACGCGTAACCAATGACACGAATATTAAATCTACATCGAATTGCTTCGCCGTTTTTCTAGCAACGCGACGATGGATGTATATTATTTTACTGTTCGATGGAAACGCGATCTCTGAACCTTCGAACGTTGTATAAACGTTGTTTAATTCAATTACAGGTTAATACGGTGTCTTCGTCATTTATTTAGGAATATTTGGGAAGCAATGATTACAGTAGAAATTAGCGACATACCAACTACCGAACTAATATCCAATATCGATTTACCCCGAGATAGGATTGCTAGGTATTAAATGTGGTAATCTCGCGATAATTCGAAAATTCGAGTCATTTACGGACGCATTCTGATTGGGATTCTAATCAAAATATATATTATACGTTAGAATTCATTGGAATATACTATCAAAATTTGAAGCTTTATATTCGAGTCGCTCAGAAGCCAACGTGGTTAGAAGAAAAGAATTGAGAAAATTGATGTTTCAGCTTCTGAAATGATTATTCAGCATATTTGGAAGCTTCCATATATTATTTATTCCATGAAAACTTACACAAATCAGCAAATATCCAGAAATCGACTTAACACGTTGCCGCACGATTTCATAGAGCAAAATACTCAAAATGGAAAGAGTATACTATTCAATTATTTAACTGAATTGCATTATTATTACATGTTCATCTAGCTGAATATCACCGCATGAGGTAGCATTGTCTACAATATAGAAACATCTTCAAATAATCGTCATTTAATCGAACTACGGTAATTCAATTTGGGGGGCACGGGTGATTCCCATGGCATTCAACGTGTCAACCGCATTGACTTTCGAGCGACTCGTTCTCCCGTTACGGGTCCTCCGTTCGCCGAGAAGCAAACGAGCGCCGACACCGTCGAAGAAAAAGCGCGAGAATTGGATCGGTGAAAGCAGAGCGGCCGCGGCGACCGCGATCGGAATAACAAAGGCTCGGACGAATGAATTATTCGGCCGATCGGCGTGTATCCGCGGCTAATCAGCGCGCCCGTTGAATTATCGGCGGCGAATAGTTTCCGTTAGCAGCTGCCCGCTCGCCGGAGGTCGGCGATCAACGGAAATACGTGGAATACCGTTCCGCGCGGTACGTGACTACTTTCCCGTGCGCCGAAATCGACCGGGCGGGACACGTAATTAGAGAAAGTCCCGCCGCGTCTTCGATTGCGCCGGCTAATGTATTCAGCCGTTTGGAAATCGTCCCTCGAACGGCCGATCCCCGAGAAGCCTCGCTTTGTTGTAACGCTAACGTCCGCCCTCGAATGCAGTCCCGGGAACACGAGTTTCGTGAGCGTGTCGCAATCACGCGCCTCCAGCCGCCGAGTTCCCTGGAAGAGCGGCGCAATATCGTCCGCGGCAAATTACACGGAAATTATTTTACACGTTAACGTCGGCCTCAACTTTCCCAGCCGGCGTGGAACTTTCGAGTGGCTTCCGTTAGCATAATTCCGGCTCTTTGCGATAATGCGGCTGATCTAATTCCTTCGCTGCAGAAATCCGAGGAAGTCGCGATTGTCGGATACTTCGGAGTCGAAAGCAGTGACCGAAAGTTCACCAGCTAGAAGAAATTAGGTTCGTTTATTGAAGCGACCCGAACGAGCGCGATTGTAAGAGGAAAGTTGAAACGCGTGAATTTTATTGAAAATAATCGAAGCGACTGCGAGTTCACGATGAGAGAAGGGCTCTTTGATGGGAGCAGGTTTGTGGGCGTATTTTAAGGGAAATCGGAGAACACCGGGAGGCTTCGGATTGAACGAAGGTGGAAGTTCGCGGTCGGTGAACAGCGGAAGTGCGAGAGCGGCGAGCGAAAAGCGGCCGGCGATTTAGCGTCGGGTGCATTGTGGAACGCGTGTAAGCCACGGTGACAAACGGTGAAGGAACTTGCCGCGTCTGAGTCGTAACTCGAAATTCGCGAAGTTGCGAACAACTAGTTGCGAAATTAATCGTTCGTTCGTGGCGCGGCGCGCGTTATGAAAGCGGCGGCGGCGGCGGCGGCGGCGGGCGCCGAACGTTGCCCGGAGATTTTACGTTCTTCAGGACCGCGCGGGTATTGGTGTAACGAGTTATGTAACGCCGTCGACGAAGTTCCCCGGGCTGAATTACGTTCCCTCGTTATTCGATAACCTTTCCGCGGCGTTCCATCGATTTTTCGTTAAGCGGCGAAAGAAAACGCCGCGGAAATCTCCCGATCGCGCGTTGAGCAACGTGCTTGGATTTTTCCGATGTATAACGACGAGTTTGATATTTCGTCCCGAGGAATCCAACGGTTTCTGCCGTATGAGTTATGGACGGTAGGGTTAACCGACTCCTGTTTCTGATTCTCGTTTGGTTGCATGTCGGAAAAACTTTCACTTTGTTCGCAGGAAAACGTGAGATTACTCTTTATACGCGCACCTGTATTCTTTCAAGAAATTTATTGGAAACTGTTGCTTACTAATCTGGTTTCATTCTTTCTCTGTTTCGCGTGAAACTCTTCTATGCGAAACAGAGCACGCTCGCTTATGCAAATGAAACGGATAACGGAGACGGGATTAGAACCGGGACTACTTAAAATAATTCGTCGGAAGACGCTCATTGAAACGTATGCAAATCACGGAGAAAAATTGCGCGGAACTTTCAGCGGTGGTCTATCAAGCTGTGTCTCTCCTTGAAACTGCTTTTAATTCTGTCCGGAATTTATTATGTCATCGGTGGCGCGATAAGAAGATATTTCGAGAATTTAGTTTTCCAATTACACTCAGCGTCGACGGTTAATTCAATTCCGTTGAACGTTTACACGAGGCCAAACTGGAAATGTAATTATACGGGAACGTTCGCTGGAATAATACTCGTAAGAATTAAACACGCGATTACTCGGGACAACTTCA